TTGCACTCCAGATCAAATTTCTGCCTGCCTGCTTACCATCGCCAGCTCTCTTGGGCCCTCCATGCATCTTGTACTCCACTTTTCAATACAGACTTCTGGTCACAGCACTCTCTTGCCTAAAACTTGCTTACGGGCTGAGGCAGGTGAATCACCTGAGGTCAGGAGTTCAAGACCAGCCTGGCCTACATGGCAAAACCCTATCTCTACTAAAATTGCAAAAATTAGCTGGGCGTGGTATCACATACGTAGTCCCAGCTACTTGGGAGGCTGAGGCAAGACAATCCCTTGAACTTGGGAGGCGGAGGTTCCAGTGAGCCGAGATGGTGTCACTACACTCCAGCCTGGGCGACTCAATCTCAAAAAAAAAAAAAAAAGAACTTGCTTACAAATATGCTGACCAGAGTTCTGGCTGGGTTGCAGTAATACGCCCTCCAGACTCAGTGCGTCCCTCTTGCCTGCTGAGGACTCGATTGCCCTGCTTGAGCCACTGCTCATGCTTCCTGAAATCCAGGTCTCAGTTGTGCTGTCATAGGCCTGGGGAGGCCTTTCCTGATCCCCAGGCCAGGACATGAGCCCAAGACCCCACTGGTGCACAACCCAGCAGCACCCCATGTGCCTCCTGCAGGAGAAGATGCTGGACATCTACTGGCTGCTGCGCGTCTGCCTGCAGACCATTGAGCATGGTGATCGCACAGGGTCTCTCTTTGCCTTCATGCCCGAGTTCTACCTGAGCGTGGCCATCAACAGCTACAGTGCTCTCAAGAATTACTTCGGTCCCGTGCACAGCATGGAGGAGCTCCCAGGTGATGGAACCATTCAGGCTGGGGCAGAAGCAGAAAAGGGGTCTCTAGTGTGAGCCCTAGGAGCCCTGGTCTGAGACCTCTGTGGCCCAGCAACACACATCCGTGGGGGGCAGGGAGGGGAGGAGCTTCCTCTGTGGTTCACCCTGCAGCAAACAAATGTTTGCACCCTGCCCTGGGACCTGCAGCCACAGAGCCAACAGCTCCCTGGCAAAGGAAAACAGACAAGATGGAACACAGTGGGTGGAGACCCCTTGGCTTTCACTTCCTTCCTAGTGCTATGAGCAACTGCTGTGGTGCAGCAGCCAGCTGGCCCTGCACCCTGACTCCCTGGCACTGGTCACAAAGCGTGGCAGTTGGTCAGGGGCAGAATGGTTTGTCTTGGTAAATCACAGCAGGGGGTGGACCCTGCTAGGGTCCACATCCGAACCTGGGCTTCTCGCAGCCCACTGATTCCAGGCTAAGCTGTACTGTGTATGTCTGGATCAGGCAGTGAGCTGTCATAGCCCCTAGCCCACCCCCTGCCTAGCCCCAGGCCTCGGTGTAGGCTTTGTCTTCAAAGACAGAGCTGTGGGTGCCCAAGGAGCTTTGACTGCTCATCAGGTGTGTGTGCTGAGATGGGTTTGAGCCCAGGTCGGGGCTCCTGCCAGGGCCTGTCATCCCCTCACAGTGAGCCTATGCCTTAGCCCCTCCACAGCCACCAGTGAATGCCTTGCCTGATGTCCCCAGATGCCAGCCTGGGTGCAGGCTGGCCTTGGGAGCCAGCTCTAGAGCCTGCTACCCAAGCCCACCCAACCTGCTGACATGCCTGCCTCTGGAGCCCCCACTCCTAGCCAACACGTCTCAATTCCCACCCTTGCAGGCTATGAAGAGACCCTGACCCGCCTGGCTGCCATTCTCGCCAAACACTTTGCTGACACACGCATCGTGGGCACTGGTGAGGGGCCCTACAGAGGGTACAAGGGGAAGTGGATGGGATGGCACCTCTGGTTGGCTTTCTTCTATGAAAAATGTGGCCAGGTGGGCATGAGACATGGGTCCAGGGCTCATGCCAAGCCCCTACTGAGGCGCGGCGTCTCCCCGCAGACATCCGAGACTCGCTGATGCAGGCCCTGGCCAGCTACGTGTGCTACCCACACTCCCTGCGGGCTGTGGAGCGAATCCCTGAGGAGCAGTGAGTGGGGCCTGGGGGGCACACACCCTGGCCATGAGCACCGTGCCCAGCCTCACCCCATGTCTCTCCCCTCCTTGCCCTCACAGGCGTATCGCCATGGTGAGGAACCTCCTGGCACCCTATGAGCAGCGGCCCTGGGCCCAGACCAACTGGATCCTGGTGCGGCTCTGGAGGGTAAGCCTGACTCCAAGGGGAGGTGGCTGAGACTGGCTGAAGGGAGAGGGTGCCCTGTCCCATTGACCTGAGCACCGACCCCCACCTCCACAGGGCTGTGGCTTCGGGTACCGCTATACACGGCTGCCACATCTGCTGAAAACCAAACTTGAGGATGCCAATTTGCCCAGCCTCCAGAGTGAGTATCTGGGTTGGCGGAGTCCTGAGCAAGGCAGGCGGGGGTGCTTACCCCCTACCCATGGGTTCTTTCAGACTCTCCACTTCTTCCAGCCCCTCTCTGGTTCCCCCATTGGGTCCCAGACTCCCTACCTGTCCCGTGGGGTTTCCACTTTGCTTGCTTCCTTCCATCCCAAGGATGCTCGGGCTGGGACTCCCCCTCCGCCACCTTGCCCACAGTCCTACATGTGCCCTTTGGGCCTGGACGCTCTACATGGGTCATGGTGAGAGGCGGCACCATCTTCCTGGCCTGCCGCAGCTCATGCAGACTGAATACTCTGTCCCTTGCCCTCGAAGCTAGCTCCCTGACCTCCAGCCTTGTCCCAGCACCATGTCCTTCTGCTTCTTTTTTGCTCTCTGCTGGTGCCAGACCCTGGCCTTGGCTTAGGCCTTGGACACCTGAGTCCAGTGGGAGCACAGATTGGAGGTTGGCCAGGTGCCCAGAGGGTATTCATGGGGGTCCCTGGAGGAAGGGACATTTAGTTGGTAGCAGAGGCTGTGCCCTCTCTCCAGAGTCCAGCGAAGTATCATGAACCCGAGGATTTTACCCTAGGCCTGGCCCTTGCAGAGTGCCTACCACACACTATCTTCACCCTTCGTGGTGGCTCTCATGTAGTCTGTTTCTGCCCTTGTGGGCAGTGTTTTGATCTGAAGGGTGTCCCCAGAGAGGCTGAGTGTCTTGTGCTAAGTCACACAGCAAGTCTTTTCCAGTTGCTGTGGTCCTGCCTCCAGGGTGGAACTGAGCTGCAAGTGGAGAGCAGCAGTGGGGCCAGGCCCATCCTGCTGCTGCGGGAACTATTGATTTGCATCAAGCTGGTGGGGAGGTGTGCCGGGCCAGTTGCAGCTGAGGGCTCCGGTTACTGCTGCCTGCCAGCCCAGACTTGGCGCCCACCACTTCGGCCATATGCCAAGGCCAGGCCAAGGGCAGCAGAGGACAGTAGAGGACAGCAGGTTTGCAGCAGGGCTCAGAGTAGGCTCTTGGAGGAGCTGGCCTTGGTGCTGGTGGGGAAACGTCTAAGCCGCCCTGTCTAGGTCTGACCCTATCTGAAGGGTATGTGACCCAGAACTTGCTGAGGGTCAGGCTCTGGCTGTGTGGCTGCTTCAGGCCTGGGGTGGATGGTGTGGTGTCAGAGCAGGAAACAACTGCAGCCTGGAGTTTGCCTACTAGAAGGAGGGGACAGATTCTGTCCTAACTACAAGGCAGCTGTCCCCTGTCCCCTGCTTTCATGACCTGAGCATTCCTAGGGAGCCGTCTTTCTGTCCTTATACCAAAGTCTCAATGGGTGAGGACAGAGGCAAACAGGCAGAGGCCACTGCAGTGGAGTCCCTGATGATGCCATCTCCTGTCCCCCTGCAGAGCCCTGCCCCTCCACCCTGCTGCAGCAGCACATGGCGGACCTCCTGCAGCAGGGTCCTGATGTGGCGCCCAGCTTCCTCAACAGTGTCCTCAATCAGCTCAACTGGGCCTTCTCTGAATTCATTGGCATGATCCAGGAGGTGGGCTGTGGTGGGGCCTCGTGGGTTAGGGTGGTGCAGGGGATGAGGCCTGGTCCCGGGCTAGAGCCAGGTGCTGACCGCTGCATGTCCACGTGTTGGTGGATCAGATCCAGCAGGCTGCTGAGCGCCTGGAGCGGAACTTTGTGGATAGCCGGCAGCTCAAGGTATGTGCCACCTGCTTTGACCTCTCAGTCAGCCTGCTGCGTGTCTTGGAGATGACTATCACACTGGTGCCTGAGATATTCCTTGACTGGACCCGGCCTACCTCCGAGATGCTGTTGCGGCGTCTTGCACAGGTGTGGCCATCTGGGCAGCAAGGGTGGGACCCTCGGAATGTCCCTTTCATCAGTGGTGGCGCTCCCCATCCACCAATGGACTCCTGCTCCCCTCACAGCTGCTAAACCAGGTGCTGAACCGAGTGACAGCTGAGAGGAACCTGTTTGATCGTGTGGTCACCCTACGGCTGCCTGGTGAGGACCTAGATGCCCTGCACCCCAACACACTACAGGCCTTGGCTCCTCTGCTAGGAACAGTGATGCCCAATTCCACATTCTGCCCCTGGACAGCCAGGCTTGGCGCTCTGCAGCCTTGGCTCACCCTTCTGTAGGGAGGGCAGTGGGCAGGGTGGACCATCTCAGGCCCGGAGTCCTTGCAGCAGGAGCGTGTGGGTGGCTCATGTCCTCCTTCCCCTTCCCCTCAGGCCTAGAGAGCGTGGACCACTACCCCATTCTGGTGGCAGTGACGGGCATCCTGGTGCAGCTCCTGGTGCGTGGCCCAGCCTCAGAGTGAGTGTTTGGGACCGTGGGCCCCTGTGGGAGCTGGGTGTGTCTGGTGAGAAGGGGCTGGACAGGGCCTCCTGGTACCTCAGTTTCCTCATCTGGGAAATGGACCTCAGTATCAGGTTTTGAGGCAGAGTAGGTAGTGAGGTGTGAACGGCCTAAATAGGGGTCAGAGGGAGCTTCTCTAAGTAGGAGAATCTGGGACCCCAGCAGGACAGGTAGCCCTGGCCCACAGAGCCACTGGTTTGTGGCCATGCCTCAGGCCAGGCATGGGAGGCAGGACTCCAGAAGGTGTGTCATCCTGTGGTGGACAGGGCCAGGCCGCCGGGAGAGCTGAACACATACAGGACCGCCATTGTCTGCAAAGGCTCCAGCAATAAGCACGTGCTGCCTTTATTAAGAAACTCTGGAGCAGTGGGGTCCAGGATGGCCATGGGGGCCCCCAGCTCGGCCCTACACATGAAGGGCTCCCAGACACCCATTCCCTGCCCTCCCGCAGTGGGAGCAGTGAGATGCATGTGAAGCCAGGGCGCCGCCTCAGCCATTAGGCTGAGACCAGTGCCAGCCCTTAAGAGGCCCCTGCTCTCGAGGGACATGGAGTTCCGGCTCGGCCCTCCCAACTTGGCCATGCTCTCCAGGCTTTTTGGGCTTTTTACTGCTGAAAAGCAGGGGCACAGGCCATGATCCCCTTCACTGTGTCTTGTGAGCCCACAGAATGGGCTCTGCCTTCAGAACAACAGCTGGATGCCCCGGGCCAGAGAGAGCAGGGCCTCTGACTGGGGCTTAGGCCAGCCCCCCCAGGAGTCTCTTGAGGAGCCTTTCCTGCCTAGTGCCTGCCCACCGGACTCTTCGTGAATCTGTGAAGCTTTCAGGCGGTTGGGAGGGAGTCCCATTTCACCAGAGGGCGGGCTTGTTTCCTCTTTCTGTCCTGGGGTGTGGGCAACATCTTCCTTCAGAGCCGTCATCTTTTCCTTGTGGGCCCACTCCCACCCCCTTGGGAAGGGGAGATGACCCTGCGTCAGCTCTTCAGCACCACTCTTGGAGAGCTGCCTCTGCCCCTGAGGGTGGACGGGGGCTCTGCTACAGGGGTTCTTCCACAGGCTGTAGAAGAACACAGCTACTTCCACGGCTGTGCTGTGTTGAAAGCCACAGGGGCCTGGGTCTCTCAGGCTCACAGGGCATTTGGGCACTAGGAAGTCCCCGGGAAAGCAGGCACTAGCACAGCTTGCAGGGCCTGGGGCCTTTGGGTCCTGTGCAGGGGCAGAGCAGAGGGCAGGTTGGGGACTACGACACCTGTCTCTACCAGTGAGTGAGAAAGCCCATTGTGTTTCGAGGCCCATACAGGAAGCTGGGGGGCCAGGCACAGTGCTTCCCACCAGCCAGTTCTCTGGACCGAAGCAGACAGCAGGGCGAGCAGCAAGAGGGTGGGGGCCCTGGGCAGTCTAGGTCGTCATGGGACCCTCGGAGCCTATGGAGCTAGCGGACTCAGAGCCAGCCTTCAGCTGCAAGCCTCCAGGGTTGCAGAGATCAAATTCCTCAGCTACTGCCAGCTGCACGCGGCCATTGAGGCCCCTCCGGCCTGGCTCCAGAAAGACTACGTGCTTGTGGACGCTGGCCTTGCGGCTGGGTGCGTCTGGCGGTGTGGTGCTGAGTACTGAGGACTGTGCGCTCAGCTCGTGGAGCGGGCTGGGTGTTCGGGGCCAGCGGCGGCAGCGGCAGGCACGGCGGCAGCAGCAGCAGGGTGGAGCGAACAGGTAGAGCAGCACGAGCACCAGGCCCACAGCGCAGCCCAGCAGTGTGGTGAAGCCTGTGTTGAAAGCCTCGGGCTCTGGGCGCGGGAAGTGAACGCTCACGTTGTACTCGTGCGTCTGGTTGTGGTGCAGGCGGGGCCCAGTGGCCATGCACACGAAGAGTCCGGCATGCTGCTCCTGCACGTTGCCTATGGCCAAGCTGCCGTCGGCCAGCACAGCGATGCTGCCATCGCGGGATCCTGGCGCCCTGAGAAGCTCCTGCTGCGGCGAAACCCAGGCAATGCGCATGGCCGGGACGCTGGTGTTGCAGTAAAGCCTTAAGGACCGACCCACCAACGCGTACAGGTGCTCTTCCGGCCGCTCTAGGCCAAGAGCTGGGGCCGATGAGCAGTTCTCAAAGACGCGGCTGTGCTGGAAGAAGCGCACACGGGACGCGGGTACCTTGAAGGCCAGGCATATGTACTCGCGCGCAAAATCGCGCACGGCGCTCAGGCCCCGCTGGTGCCAGCGCTGTAGCAGGTGGTAGAGGCGGCAGTCGCAGGGTAATGGGTTGTTGTGCAAGTAGAGGCCGTTCTTGAGGAAGGCCGGCAGCGCGGCCAGCTCAGGTACAGAGATGTGTCCCAGCCGGTTGGAGGAGAGGTCCAGAATAAGCAGGTGGGTGGCGCTCAGACCGTGCAGGTGGTCGAAAGAGAACGAGGCAAGTTCGTTGCAGCCCAGGTAGAGATGGCTGAGCGCGCTCAGGCCGTGGAAGGCATGCTCGTCCAAGTGCACCAAGCGGTTATTGAACAGAAGCAGCTTCTCCAGCGCCCCCAGCCCGTCGAGGTCGTGGCGGCCAAGGGCCCGCAACGCGTTAGATGATAGATCGAGCAGCCTCAGGCCGCTGGCGTTGGCGAAGACGCCGCGACCCAGCGCTTCTAGTTCGTTGTGGCCTAGATGTAGGGCGCGCAGCTGGAAGAGGGGCGCCAACCAGCCGGGGCGCAGGCGCTGGAGCGCATTGTGGCTCAGGTCGAGGTCCGCAGTAGCGGCGGGTAACTCGACCGGCACATCCTGCAGCCCTAGGCCAGTGCAGCTTAGCAGGTCGGCAGCGCAGATACATTTGTGGGGGCAGTTGTGGGGCGTACGGGGCGGGAAACCCTCGGAGTCCGGGGTGCCTAACCCAACGCACAGCATGCAGAGCAGTGCCCCCAGCAGCATCAGCCAGGTCATGGCGGCGACCACCAGGGACAGGACAGAGCAGCTCTGTGCAGGTCGCAGTTCCAGGACTCACCCACTTCTGCTCTAGTGCGACATGGGTGGCACCGGATGGCCCTTGCCGAGGAGGCACGGCGGGTTCTGGCCGGCCGACGGCCCCTACTCTGCGGTTCCCAGGTTGTGAGGCGGGGCCGCACTCCTCTGCGTGCTCCCTTCGGCTTCCCGAGCCCTCTCCAAGCGAGTTCCTGATCGGCTCCTAAATACTCCCCCCAGGGGCGGGGCTCGGGCTCCTATTGGCTCCCGTTTGAGGAGGCGGGGCGGCTGCATCCCCTAGTGCCCAATGGCCCCGCATGACCGCCAGATGAGTGAGCCCAACCCCAAAGCCCCAGTCTGCGTTTGGCTGGCAGCTCTCCGCCGCTCCTTTTTCCTCGAGGAGTAAAAGGGGGAGTCTGGAAGAATGTCTCCAAGCTGCTGTTAGTGTTTATTTGAAATGACTTATTTGAGTGATACATTATGGGGCAGATGGACTCTATCTTAAGGTGGCTCCCCTGAGCCCTCTTAAAGTGGTACCCCAGGCGGGGTGCGGTGGCTCACGCCTGTAATCCCAGCACTTTTGGAAGCCGAGGCGGGTGAATCACCTGAGGTCAGGAATTCGAGACCACCCTGGCCAACCTGGTGAAACCTCGTCTGTACTAAAAATACAACAATTAGCCGGGCGTAGTGGTGGGCGCCTGTAATACCAGCTACTCCGGGGGCTGAGGCAGGAGAATCACTTGAACCCAGGAGGTAGAAGTTGCAGTGAGCCTAGATTGCGCCATCGCACTCCAGGGCAACAGAGCCAGACTCCATCTCAGACCCCAGGCTGTGTGGCACCTTACTAGAATACAGGACTTGGGGCTTGGGAAGCAGGGACACGGAAAGGATGCAGGGGGGCGGTGATTATGTACAAGCCGTGGCACTCCTCATTGGCAATCCCAATAGAGACTACTTTTAGCCAGGCCCCAAGCCTTCTGACTGCCCTTGCACCATCCCCTACCTAGGAGAGAGCGAGCCACATCAGTACTCCTGGCAGATCCCTGCTTCCAGCTACGCTCAATATGCTATCTCCTGGGACAGCCAGAGCCCCCAGCACCTGGCACTGCCCTGCCAGCCCCTGACCGGAAGCGCTTCTCCCTGCAGAGCTGTGAGTGGGCTGGTGGGGTGGGTCAGGGAGATCTGGGGCTGGATCAGGTCAGGAACCTTAAGAACAGCAAAGTCCTAGGCTGGGAATATTTAAAAGTCATGACATCCTCATCTACCTCTGACTTGACACTACCTACCACTCCCCAGATGCGGATTATATCAGTGCCGATGAGCTGGCCCAAGTGGAACAGATGCTGGCACACCTGACCTCTGCATCTGCCCAGGCAGCAGCTGCCTCTCTGGTGAGTGGGACCATGGTGCACAGGTCCATGCCACTTGAATATGTGTGCACTCCTACATAGGCACAGCGGACATCCACACAGCCAGGCATCCAACTCCAGCCCACCCTTCACTCTCCTCCCTGCAGCCCACCAGTGAGGAGGACCTCTGCCCCATCTGCTATGCCCACCCCATCTCTGCTGTGTTCCAGCCCTGTGGCCACAAGTCGTGCAAGTAAGTGGTCCCCACAGCTTGGTAGTGGGGAGAGCAGTAGATACATGCAGGGCAGTCCTCATCCCCTCCCCTGTTGTAGAGCCTGCATCAACCAGCACCTGATGAACAACAAAGACTGCTTCTTCTGCAAAGCCACCATCGTGTCTGTAGAGGACTGGGAGAAGGGAGCCAATACGAGTACTACCTCCTCAGCTGCCTAGCCCTCACAGCCTGTGCCATCCTGGAACCTCCACCCTTGAACCCAGAGCCAGGCTGGGCCCTATTTATGAGCTCCCTTTGCCCTTCTCCTGTATCTGCCCCCCCCCCCCCCCCGCCACCACCACCACATCCAACCTCCTTGCCTGCCTGTATTCTCATTGGTGGGAGCCCAGCCATGGCCCTAATTGTGCCTGAGCTTGACTCTCAGTCAGGGCCACAGTCAGCATTAAATTATTATTCCATACAGCCCTGGCCCTGGCCCTTCTTGAGGGAGTGGGGTTTGTGGGGTGTGCCCAGCAGGGATCCTGCCAGATGATGTCCACATGAGAAGGCAGGTGTCCAACAGCTTCAGCTTCACCCAGTGCCCCCCAGACAGATAACAAGTCCAGGGTCTTCTGATGTGTCAGGCCAGCACTCTCCCCTTGCTGATGGGAAAACCGGGGCTCGGCCAGCCCCACTGCATCCCCTTACATGATGATACGAGGCTCTGGCACTGATTCGCCAATAGACTTGTGGGGCAGCACGCTGGCTCCGTTGAGGTAGAGCTCATCGTTAACTATGACGTCCTCACCCAGCACTGTCACGTTCTCCATGCGAACCTCCAGGAGAGGATAGGCCTTGTCAGGGAGACAGGCACACTCCCTGCCCCTCTCCCCACCTGGCCCAGCCCACAGGCTTACCCACTGGCCCACACGGCAGCGCCAGCCCACAATGCAGGACTCAAGCCATGAATGGGAGCGGATCCGGGCATCCCGCAGCACCGTGCACCGCCGGATACACACACCATCTTCGACCACCACGCCAGGTCCCAGGCTCACATTGGGGCCAATGCTGCAGTTCTGGCCGATGCGGGCACTTGGGTCCTGAGAGTGGTGGGAAAAATACAAGTGGGCCACTTGTCTCCCAAGACTGAGGGGGTTAATGATGGGCTGGGCAAGGGCCTCACCACCAGCACGTTGCCCACAATGCCAGGGCCTGAGTACAACCGCTCAGGCTGCTTCTGCCTCAGTGACTGCAGGAAGAGGCACATGCCAGTGAGGAAGTCCTTGGGCTGCCCAATGTCCATCCAGAAGCCTGTAGGGAGGGATGTATCAGGGCCCTCAGCCCAGCCAAAGACCACCCCCACCCTGTGGCCTCCCTGCCTCACCCTGCAACTCCATGGCATATAGCTGCCCCTCCTTGGCCATAATGGGGAAGACCTCCTTCTCAATGGACGTAGGCTGCAGCTGTGGGAGTGGGTAGCTTGTGAGCAGGGTCATGGCGGTGATGGCCTGCCCCACCACAGCCCACCGACAGCTGTCTCCTACTACACACCTGGATGCGCCGCAGCACCGCAGGGCTCAGGATGTACATGCCTGCGTTGATCTTATTGGACACAAACACCTGTGGCTTCTCCACAAACCGATGAATTCGGCCTGTGTCAGCCTCACACACCACCACACCGTACTTGGAGGGTTCCTCCACCTTGGTTACCTGAATGCAAGGAAGGGGACCTCGGACCTAGTCCAGTGTTCCTGAGCCTTGATATACGTGCCGTTCCAGATCTCAGAGACTCTGCCCCAAGTGCTTAAAGATACATACTGCACAGCTCTGTACCCATAACATCCGAAGGCAGATGAAGGCTAGGGGGCAGGGGGGGCTGGGCATGGAGGGTGGAAGTGTCAAGAGAAACAAGACCTGGCGCCTTACCAGGATGGAGCCCTCCTGGCCATGGTGCCGGTGGAACTGCACCATGGCTTGGAAGGGGAAATCGCAGATCACGTCACTGTTGAGGACGAAGAAAGGGTCTGCAGTCTCAGAGAGCAGGTCACGGGCCAGCGCCAGGGGCCCAGCTGGGGGAAAGGGACAGGTCACAACCTTGCTGGAGGTCTGAGTCCCTGGATTCAGGCTCAGCAGGCCCAATGCAGGCTGGGTCTTACCCTTTTCCTGGCCTTAAACCCTCCCCAAGGGACCTTTCTCTACTCACCTGTCCCCAAAGGCTCCTCTTCATGGGACATGGAGATTCGGATTCCCAGCTGGAAGGAAGAGGACCCCCAGTCAGGTTCTACCAGGATGGGAAGTTGGGTGGGGACGGAGGATAAGGGCCAAGAGTCCGTGCCTCACCCTCTGCTCCTGTGCCTTCATTTCCTTCTCCAGCACCTGTGACATGTAGCTCACGGCCAGGATCACGTGGTCCACGCCTGCCTGTCAGAACGCAGGCCAACGGGCGGGCTCAGTCAGAAAGTACAGGAGCCCCTGACCCCCTAGTCACTGGCCATCCCTAGTCCTGCCAGATCCGAAAGCGACTCCGATCCTGACCCAGGGTCTTACCGCAGCTAGCGCCTCCACTTGGTGCAGCAAGATGGGCTTATTGCAGAAGTCCACCAGTGGCTTCGGGGTGCTCAGTGTCAGCGGCCGTAGCCGCGTCCCATAGCCCCCCACTAAGATCAGTGCCTTCATCGCGCCTGCGGACGTTGAGGGGGTGTCCCGGGCTCTGAGGTGCCTGCAGCCCGTCTAGTCGGTCCCTGCAGCGCACTCCCAACGCCGTGCCCGGCCCCGCGCCCTTCACCAACCCGTCTGACCGACTCTGGCTCCACCTCGTCCTCCCGGTCGCCCTGACGCCGGATCCAGGGCCGCCACAATCCAGAACGCGACGCCGGGTGGACGGCTGCTGGCCACGAACTCAGGGCGGACCCGGCGCGGACAGTGACGCGAGCACCGCGGGCCAATCGGCTGCCGCGTACGTGGCACGGCCGCCGGCGACGGAGCGTTTGGTCGCAGCGCTGCGACACACGTAGCCAATGAGCGCCCGAGTACGCCGGGCTGCCATGGAGACCCGGGCCGGGACCCGCGGGTCAGCTGGCCATTGGCGGATCCAAAGGCGGAACTGGCGCCAAGGGTGAGGCCTAGTTCCCTGCTTCGCACGGTCCAGCAGCCGCCGGCCCCGCCCCACCCCGCGGCCCGCCCCCACGGCCCGCCTCTTGGCCCAGCCCCGAGGGAGGGTGATCAGGGAAGGCTCCCGGACCACGGGATTTTCACAAAGACAGACTCGCCTCCGTTTCTAGCGGCTTTATTTTTGACATACACGACCTCAGACACAAGCGGGGCGGGCAGCGCTAGGTGTACAGAAAGGAGCGGGCTCGGACCGAGCACCCCTCACGCAAGGTCCAAAGCAAACACAACTGCGGCGGGAGCCACGGGTTAGTGTCCGGGCGCAGACCTCGGGCGGTGGGGACAGGCTTAGCTTCCAAGAAGAGGAGCAGAGAGCGATTCCCAGAACGCGGGGGCTTACAGTTCCCCGAGAAGCAAAAGAACCAGGTCCTTCCCAGGGTTGTCCATTTTTTTTCTCATTAAAATATTTTTTAAGTCAGCACAAACATAACCAAATTGTACAGCTTTAAAGTTCAAAGCAATCTGCATCTAGGGAACGTGCATGTAGTCAGGAGTGAGCGCGTGAACAGCAGCTACGGAACTAGCACAGGCGCCAGGCCCCATGATGGGAATCCCCACGCCCATTGCACAGGCCCAGAGAGGGAAGGGTGGGGGTCCCTAGCAATTTGCTACACTGGTCCCCTTCCTCTTTTAAGCACCACCCGTCCCACCCCACCCTCAGGGGCTGGTGTCAGCTTGGCCCAGGGAAGCACTATAGAGAGGGGTCACCCGAGCACCCCAACCCATGATCCCATGTTGCACTTTGGTCCCAAGTTGGGGCTAAGGCAGGGTCTGGCAGGGAGAGGGCTCTGGCATGGGGCAGGGAGAAAGCAGTGGCAGACAGTATGCACACACACTTGCCCACTACCATTAAATAACAGGGCTGGGTCTCTAGGTGTCCAAAGTGCTGAAAAGAGGGGCCCTGCTCTAGGGGAGCAGCAGCAAATCCCAGGCCTTCCCACTCTTTGTAGTGCCAGGAAAATACTGAATGTAAGTGGATGAAGCCTTTGCTCGCTGTGAGGAGCAGCAGAATGTGGCAGCCTCTCCTCCCAGAATCTAGGAACCTGGGAGGCACAGGACATCCCCAAAAGGTCCCAAACAGCTCCAGACCCTATGTCTTACCCTCCACCCTACCAGGGAATGACTAAGTCTACACTAATGAAGGGCTACTGCCCCCATGGCTGAAGCCACAGAATGGTACAGGAGAGAAAACCGTAATTTCTGACCAGAAACAGCCAAGCTGTCCCTCCCAGCCCCAAAGAATGGGAACCTGCCCACCAGTGGCACCAGAGCCGGGGGCTAGGAGAGATGGCATCCATCAAGGAGCCCTTAAGAAGCTGCATCTCTAAGGACCAGGAAATGAGTCCATCAGTTACCAAGGCCTCTCACAGCTGGCAGGCTTACCTTTAATGCCAAACAGGCACTTGCCTAAAGTGACAATGAACAGTGGCCCTAGGCTCAAAGGAGAGGGTGCTAACCCTGGCAATGGCTGAAATCAGTGTCATGTCCTGGCCATCTGTTTTAGAAGCAGCAGGTCTGTGCCATTAAGGGCTGGCAGCCAAAATGACTAAAACCATGAGAAAGGAAGGGTCACTCCTCAAGCCCTCACTGTCCTACTGTCAGTATTGAGGGCCATATTCTAGGCCCACAGAAAGGGTGCTGGGTCAACAGGGAAACACCACCAGTTTATTCTGCTATCAGGTCTTTATAAAAAGGCAACACCTGTGGAGGAAGGGCATGAGGCAAAAGCTCACCTCAGAAGTGGGAGTGTTCTGCTGAGGAAAACATGAAGGAATGAGTATATACTAATGAACAAGGCTACACCCCAGAGGAAGGATCCCGAGGGACAGGGGCTGGCAGCTGGACACAAGGACAAACTGATGGACCCAGGACTGATCAGACAAAGCTCTCATTAGCAGAATGTGGGCACCTGCACCCAGAGCCCATACCATGTCCCTGTGAGCAAAAAAGCTTAAAGTTCTCCCTCTAGGCCCAGGGCCAAGAGGGCCTCACAAAGAGCTGCCGCCTTGAACTTGGCCTGGGGAAATGAGACCCTGAGCGGACCACAGCCCTTGAGCCCTGGGAGGAGCAGCCCATCCAGCAGCGGCACAGCTGCCGAAACTTAAAGAAGACGACTCCCACCCATAGCACAAGAACTGCAAATACTATCTAGGCGAGAGCCACCAGAGGCCCTGAGGCCTGCTAGGACACCGACTATCCCCCACTTCAGTGGGGTAGGAGGGAGTGGTCTTCTTAGGCAAGGGAACTTGGTGAGAGAGGCTGGCTGTTTCAGGAATAGGACAGGTGCCAACCTGTCGCGTGCCAACAGGTACCTGGGAAACCCAGGGCCTGCCCTCTGCCTTAAGTTGGCCTCAGCCCAGCTTCATTAATCTAGCCCCATACTAAGATCAGACCCAAGGATGGGTCCAGCTTTGTGCAGTAAGCCCTGTGGTGCCCTGAGGGCACCTATTAAAGAGCTAGCTGACACCCACAGCATAAGACCAGAAAGCCCCCAAGAAATGGGCACCCAAAGCCCTCTACTTCTGGGGAACAAGGGAAGAGTGGGCATGGAGGGGCCCTGCACCAGCCCAGGGCTTTATCCTACAATCAACAGGGCCCTGCAGCCACAGACCTCAAAGATCTAGACAAGAGAAACCAATGTCCAAGGGCACCCTGTCCCTGCTGCCAAGCCCACCAGGGGCACCTCTTCCTTCCTAAGGCAGCCTGGACACACCAATCAGAGCCACAAAGCTGAGGAGCCTGGCTGAGAGGGCGTGTGGTCTACCCTCCTTCACTTTATATATATGGATTCCAGGCTACAGCTAAAAACATTTCTTTTAGTTTACACCAAAGAGAAATATAACCCTTTAAAATCAAGTCTGTGTGTCCTCACGGCAAGTTCAGAACAATGGTCCCTGCCTGCGGGTGCAGAGGAAGGGGTTCTGGGGGCCCAGAACAGGGCCTACTGGTTCTCGTCCCGCATCTGTTCCATGATGCTGATGAGGTTCTCCAGGCCAAACACGTAGCCTCTGTCCGGCCCATCATGCACGGTGGGGTCATCCCGGAAGCCCTTGAACGTGCTGTGTGCAAAGTCAATCATGCGGACATCCACCTTGGGCTGAGAGGAGGGACCCGCCTCGGGGCTGGTGTTGCTGGGGCTGGTGCTGGGGCCACAGGATGACGCCACCTCAGGGAGCACCATGTCCAGGTGCTTGAGACGCATCTCAGACCGGCGGTCCAGGCAGGACTCAGCCCGGCACTCCTTGCCATCATAGATGACAAGCAGGGAACTGGAGTAGAAGCGGTAGGAGGCCTGCCGCTCCAGCACAGCTTTCAGGCCTCGCAGTTTGCTCAGGATAGGCTCAAACAGGTCACGTCGCAGGTCCAGGCCATTGTGCAGATATTGATACAGGGCATTGCGGAAGCCTTCAATGGAGAGCCCACGGCCATAGTACTTGTTCCTGCAGAGGTAATGCCCTGTGTCCAGCTGGTACACCTGAAACCCCAGGAGACAGACAGGGTGAATGCCAGGGAAGTCTGAAGAGCTCACAGTGCCCTGGGCAAGCACTGTCTGAAAGCACTTTGACCAACCTGAGTTTTTCTGCTCCCCTATCTAAGTGGAACTGGGCAGGCCACATTCACCCTGGGTTTTCCCATTGCAGAACCAAGAGAAAGCAATACCAGGCCTATGGGTTCCCTGCCACCAGCTTTGGAGCCCTCCTCCAACATCAGAACATCTTGTTGACAGGCAAGAGTCTTACGTGTCCCAATGTCAAGGCAGTAGGCTCTCACAGTGGTCTTGCACCTGAGGCCCATAGCAAGGTCAACAGGTAAGGACAGAAGGGCTCAGGACGACACACTTGGCATAGATGGCACGCAGGTATGAGCACAACCCAAATCATGCAAGTGGCAGCACCTAGGCTCTGAGCAGAGGTAACTCACCTGCATGCCACAGACCCTGACGCCCAGCGTGGCTGATGTGCTCTGCTCACATTTCCGCATCTGCCGGGCTGCCTTCTCAGCTGATGCGTCATCGCCATGCTGCCGCGTGCCCATCTTCAGGTCCAACACACAGGGGTACTTGAAGTGGTGCACCACGTTCTCAAGCAGGAGGAACTCTGGGCCACGGTCAAGAAGAATGACAACCACACTCACCATCAGCCCCAGCCAGGAAAGCACAACCCAGTTTTTCTATAAAAGGGCGCTTTTACCTAATGCAGTATGTACTTGTCTCAGAAACTCTCAAATGTGGGTTTCACACCACTGGCTTATTACTTCTTTTTTTTTTTTTTTTTTTTTTGAGACGGAGTCTTGCTCTGTTGCCCGGGCTGGAGTGCAGTGACCGGATCTCGGCTCACTGCAAGCTCCGCCTCCCGGGTTCACGCCATTCTCCTGCCTCAGCCTCCCGAGTAGCTGGGACTACAGGCGCCCGCCACCTCGCCCGGCTAGTTTTTTGTATTTTTTAGTAGAGACGGGGTTTCACCGTGTTAGCCAGGATGGTCTCGATCTCCTGACCTCGTGATCCACCCGTCTCGGCCTCCCAAAGTGCTGGGATTACAGGCTTGAGCCACCGCGCCCGGCCGGCTTATTACTTCTTAACCAAAACAAACTGTGGTAAAATATACATAAAATTTACTTCAGTCATTTTTAAGTGTACAATTCAGTGGCATGAAGTGTATTTACTTTGTTGTACAACCATCACAACCATCTATCTCTAGAGCTTTTTCTTTTTTTTTTTTTTTTGAGATGGAGTCTCACTCTGTTGCCCAGGCTGGAATGCAGTGGA